ATTAACTAGTAAATTAAATAATACATGATTAAAATACAGTAACGTTATAAAATTATAAATTATGGAATGAAACTGACTTACTGCTGCCTGAAGTTGTAAGCTTGTGAAAAATTTCATGCACTATTTAGTTTCCTTCATAAGGTTGTGGTCTGAAGTTTACATACACTCATCATAGGCATGAATGTCATGGTAATTTTGGGCTTTAAATTGTATTTATTTATTTATTTTAATTAACTGTTGTTTTTCCTGGATGGAATGATTGTACAGCATACATCTTTAATGACTTAAAAAAATAAATTAAAGAATAGGATGCACAAATTTGAAATGATTTTTGGTTCTCTTTAATCTACACAGGGTGAAAAGTATACATACAGGCTAAAATGGACACATACAGCCCCATTGATATTTGATTAAATGTCTGTTAGCAAGTTGTACTCGAACAGATGCTTTTGGTAGCCATCAACAAGCATCTGGCATAATTTTTGCCAGATATCTGACATCTCTTCTTGGAAGTTCACTTAACTGGAGTTCATTTAAACTCAATTGTTTCCAGTCATAGAGCTGGAATTGAAGCATTATCTAAAAGTTTTCAGTTGGGTTGAGGCCAAAGCTTAATGGAGCCATTTCTCAACAACTCCAGATTCCATAGTCAAACGACTATATGCAAGAATAAGTTTTCTGGATGTATCACCTCCTTTGCAAAGTCTGGAAGAAGATCCAAACTGTCACTCTCAGATGAGAGGAGATTGGTTTGGTACAACCAGGAGTCACAAAGACTCAAGCGTGTCATGAACTGGAAACTGCTGGAACACCAGCATGACTGAGTTTTACATTGTCATGGACTTAGAGGGTGCTGACCAAATTTGCTACTGCCTACATGGACAGGCCAAAAGCCTTCTGGAGAAATGTTTTTCCCAAAATCTGCCAAGAAGAGTGATCAAATATTCAGTCAGAAACTCACTGATATCTGCTCAAAGTGCAAATGACAAATACATTTGATGTTATATGTTTCAGATGACTTACTGCCTGTTCTCTTTATCTAACTTTTCTCTCAGTCTACCTGCTGTCTCTGAGCATGGAGGACAGGCGTCAGTACTACTGGACAACTGACTATAAGCCACTGGGTGAGATCTCAGTGTGGACTCCCACTGCAGGTCAGACCCTCAGCATCAGTCACAGTTACCATTCTGTTCACAAAGAGTTGAGTGATAGTAGTGGTAAGGTTTTCTAAGAGTCTCAGATTTCCAAGGTTTCAGATCATTAATAATTATTTTAATACTGGACAGACCCCATATGTAGCTGCTCCGTAAAGGTATGCATAAGATTCAGCTGCTAAAAAATACAGTCTGATTATAAACATCAATATATTTTCTTCTGAGTGAAAAAAATGCTGCCCCACACATCTCTGGTTTTTAAGAGACAATGATAGGCAGTGTACTCAAACGCTGTCAGGCGGAGTCAAGTTTTTAGAAATAAAAAACTATTTTGTTTTGAATTAGCTGCAGTGCTTTCAGTGCACAATATTGTATTATTTAACATTATATAGGTATATTTAGAATGATGAATTAAGGTGGTGATTTCAAATATGCACTAGAGTGGTGTGCAGCAAGAATGACTCTCAGCATTTTGAAGTCTGAGGTCATGATCCTCAGCTGGGAAAGGGTGGAGTGTTCACTCCAGGTCAGGGATGAGTTGCTGTCTCAAGTGGAGGAGTTTAAATATCTCAGGATGTTGCTCACAAGTGAGGGAGAGTGAGATTGCAGAGCATTAGCTTGTCCGTGACCTTCCTCTGAAGGGTGGCTGGGTTTCACACTGAATACAGCTAAGTCAGATTGTTTGATGTTTGGGCATCTGCCCTAGGATGCCTCCTAATCACCTTCTAGGTGAGGTATTTGATGCATGTCCTGACGGGAGAAGGCCTTGGAGCATCTCTGTTTGATATCTCCATGGATGGATGGATGGATGTCATGCATTTGAAGGGTCACTGCAGATCACTACACTTGCTTTGATGAAGGTTGTGGAAACTAATAGTTTTTAGTGCTTCAATGTGTTTGCTTTAGATTCACTTTGCTATATAAAGGCCTTGAACAATGAAATGACAAATCCCTCTTGTATGAATCTGTATCTCATACTGTAGATGCTTGGCAGGGAGTTCTGACAGTCGCTTAAGGATTTAGTGCCTTCCTGGCAAATCATTTCATTACATACACATCTTGTGATCTTCTATAAATGGTGGCAGCCTTTTCCAAGAATTGTTTAGGACATGATGCTTTTTGTATGCGTTGAACTACAGATGTATCCCCTGTGCTGATTTATCAGGTAAGCAAACCTGGTCCTGAGGCTGTTTGTGTCTCTTCCATCATCAGGTGGTTCGCAGCCAACTGACTACAAGAGGAATGAAAAATTGGACCAGAAGATTTCCCTTTATAACGGCGACATCACCAAGCTTGAGATAGACGCTATAGTCAATGCAGGTATGTGTGTGTGTGTCTATGTTTAAACCTTTGTGAAGTTGTCTATTTTTCACACAGGTCAAAATCAAATGTAATTAAAAAATAAATTGATGAAGCTCAATTTTATTTTGCTGTTATTTGACTAAAAATACTGGCTCGCAGTGGTGTACAGATGAAACCTCTGGAAAAGAATAATGTGAAGAAGAGTCAGTCAGAGGGAAACATGAGACAGGATTATGTTTTTAAAAGCTTGGTGCCAAACTGAGTGCCGCCTCCAATCCGTTTGTGCATTGATGTGCATACATTTAGCAAGGAACACCTGTGAGGGAGGTTCGCGCTGTGATTATGGGTATTATGTTTTCTCAGTGAGTGGGAGATACAGCTACAGGGCTTTATATGGTTAAGAATCCTACTGTGAAGTTTTCTTTAAAGTGGAGTACAAAAGAATAAAAGAACAACAGAACGGCTGAGAATCAGAAGATTTGCTGAGTCGCTCCCTGGAAACTTTAAAAGTAGACAAAGAAACACAAAAGCAGAGCTAGCATTCATCTGAAGTCTCCATGCCGGAAGAATTATGGACAGACTGCTTTGATATATGTGAAATTCATCACGGTACCCCATATGCTTTGTTTGTTTATGTAGTATCCCCCAGCTGTTTGGTTTAAGAACACTGTATCTTTTGATGTCTGTGCACTGCAGAAAGTGATTATTTTCAACTCCAACTGTTGATATGCATGCATGCATCTGCTGGACATCGGAAATGGCCTTGCTGGCTGCAGTTGGCCTATGAGCAAAAAGGTCGACATTTACCCATGGCAGTGGCTGATATTTATCTGCTGCGTCAGATCAGTTTTGCTTTGGGTAAATGTTCAGCAATAGTACGATGAAGAGCTGGGAGAGTCTGAAATGTCTGAGTTACTGGAACAAGAGGCTGAATAAATAAAAATATAAAACTAAAGACAGACAATAAGTGCAAAACAAAACTTAAAAACCACTCTGATAACGGTAATGCTGTTAACCAAATGATTTTTAAGCCATTTGCTAAATTTGTTTTTTAAAATTCTATTTAATATTAGATTTATTTAAAAATGGACTAGCTCTGGAACAAAAGAGACAAATGTCTTAATTCTAAAACTACTTGAAAATATTGAATTATAAATAATATTTAAGCTATATCTAATCAGCCAACACATAGGACAGAAATCCAATGCATTTAGGCATGGTCGAGAAGTTAAAACTGAAGTTTGGACCATGAGAGTACCCCATTCCCGCCATTCCTGTCAGCTCAGAACTGAAACTGAGGCTATGATTCATACAGGCTCACCAAAATAGGATAATAAAAATTTGGAAACTGTTGCCTTGTCCGATGAGTCTCCATTTATGCTCCGACATTCGGATGGTAGGTTCAGAATTTGGTTTCCATAGGAAACCATGGATCTTGTCTGTGTTGTAGTTCAGTTCAGGCTGCTGGTGGCGGTATAATGGCGTGGAGGATATTTTTTGGCAAATGTTGGGTTCATTAGTGCCAACTGAGCACCTCTGATGAATGCTTCCAGCACCTTGATAAATCTATGCTATGAGGAATTAACACAGTCCTGAAGACAAAAGGGGGCCCAATTCAGTACTAGCCAGGTGTACCTAATAAAGGGTCCAGTGAATGTATATCAAACTCTTAAAACATTTTTTGGTCAAATGTCCTCTCATCACTTGTTGTTCTCAGGTTTTAGATAGTAGTGACCATTAGATGGAGCCAGAAGCCACTTGATCCATTCGAGACTTTCTTTTCCCCACAAGGCTGTTTGGGCATGTGGGGGAAATTTAATCGGTGTCTTGGCACTGGTGATGCATCGGGGGAGAGTGAGGCAGGCCAGCATGCCTAAATGATGCTTGATGATGAGGCTTTAGCAAAAAATGATAGATTTTCACTGGCAGCTGACTGTCAGCAGGTGCGCGCCGTGCCAGCATCCAGTGAATATTTTGATCTTTGAATCTCATAGTTCACAGTGTGACTGCTTCTGTTTGTGTGTGCTTGCAAGTAATTATACATGCATCTGTCTACAAATGTTTCAGTAATTATGTGTGTATACAGTAAGTACCGTCTCTGTGCTTCTGGAGAGGCGACTTTGTATTTTACAAGAGCTTTTACAGAGTCGTGGGTTGCAAAGTAGCACAGAATTAACAAGAGGAAACAGCTAGTAAAGTGTCATTTAGCGGAGAGGACGAGGCAAGGTGACGAAGAAAAACCTCAGCAATGCCAGAGGAAACATGACTGAGAGATAGAGCGTGAGAGAGTCACACTGAGTGACAAAAAGCAAGAGGGGAGTCTGGAGGAGTGAAAAGAAGAAGATGAAAGAGACACAGGGAGAGGACACAGGCTAGTATTTAAATCTCAGACTGCATTGCCATGGCAACAAGCAGGTACAGGGTACCCTCAAAGGAGCTTTGGGCGGCAGAGTCCGATCATCCTTTCTGCCTGACTGATTGGCTGCCCAGCTGACTGTCTCCGTGGTCGTTTTGTTGACTAAGCTGCTGACCTTTTCTCCCAGTGACTAACTGATTGACTAAGAGGCTTTGAGTGATGCCAGTTGCACTTAAAGAAATGTGACATTAAAATAAAAGAAAACATCGAGCAAGTTAATTACGCTCATTTTTGAAATTGTAAACTTTCTGCTGTTGCAGCAAAGCTCTGACCAGAGCGTGCGGTTTTTGACATGTGGAGGGGAGTGTTGTGGATTATCTGTGGCTGCTTTGAAAGGCCTTGAAGCATCATTTGGCCCCTAAGGCAGCAAACATTCAATTGAAGCCAACTGTGGCCAATTATACGCTATACTGGCAGGCTGGTAGGTAGGTTGGGAGGGTGGGGGCCTCCAGGCCTGGCTGGTGGTTAGCAATTGATTAGACACTCAAACACACGCACACATATATATGCATGAAGAGAGACACTCGTGTACACGAATGCATAGGGACGGATAAATTAACAGGTTTGAACTTCACGTGCTCCCTTATCTTGTTTCATTCCCTCCCTTCCTTCTCTCCTTTCCTCAATCAGCACTCGTTGATCAGGTAAACAGGGCGTTGCAGGGTGGGCGCTGGTTGTCGTTTGTGTCTCTCTCAATAAAGATTGGATTTACAGTAACCCTCAACTCCTCCTTCCCTCCTCCTATTCCTCCCTCCCTCCTTCTTTCCACACTTTTACTGCTCCTGGCTTCTGCCCACTCCTATAAAACACTACAAACATAAAAACCCACAAGCACTTAAGAGCCGTCCGGGTGGTGGTGGTGGGGGGCATACTGGGGGAGGAGACGTGGGCAGAAACATCCTCCTCTTTACACCCCTCAATCACTCCATCCGGAGAAGGGTAGGGAGATGGAGGGGAGGATATATTGTCTCTGATGGGCTAGCTGATTAAGATGGATTGCACAATGAAATGTCGTCGGAGTGATGCGTTCTTGGAGTGTGTGTGTGCTGCTACGCAGCAACTAACTTTGCATTAAAACCTTTTTTCAAATTGATTAAATGCAAATTTGTTGAGCTCTACTGAGCTGCATTTTTGCCCTGCAAAAGTTTTATTCTTCCTTTCCATTTCAACACTTACTTTTAGCCCCCATAGTGTTTATTATGTTTGACATTAAATGCCATTTATTCTGGCCCACCGTCTTCACTGCACAGAATAAAATCTAATTGAAAAAGATTTAAAAACTGAAACGATAAGTTCTCTCAGTATTTTTGTGTGAAGTCCTTTTTTTTTTTTTCTTTTTTTTTCCGCGGAGCTAATTCGGTGCGTTAAAGTAAATGCAGCAGCCGAGTCAGCTGATAAATCTTTCAGGCTAGACTATAAAAAACTGTCCCTAAAATTAAGCCGCGCACCGTCAAGAGATAAAGAATATTCCGGTCCTATCTCAGTCTTCACAGCTGAACCACTTGTCTTCGTCAATATTTCTGCTTGCCAGGAGTCTTTGTGTGTGTGTGTGTGTGTGTGTCACACCTTTACACCCTTATTTAGATGTGCTGTTAAGACTACATATATGTAAGTCTGCATGTGTTCCCCTGCTTTTGCCAGGAGCGCACATGAACCCAGCTCTAACTGTGTGTACGTGTTTGATGCGATGTGTCTAAGAGTGGTTTGATATGCGAGCAGGTATCCTGCATGTGTGTGCCTGTGTGGGTGGATGAAATAGGGTCTCCCAGGTTTTCCTCTGCTGGTCAGAGATAAAGCTGTTGGTTGGCTCTGCTAACCCACCCACTGTGGCTAAAGCTGAGAGATACAAGATTAGAGCCAATAGTTTTCTCGGCCCCCAGGTGACCGACAAGAGGGAGGAAGAGAGAGTCTGTATGTGTAGGCTGGACTTGTAACATCCCTCTGGATAAGAAACCTAGAAAAGGAGATGGATGGATGGATAAAGGAGCAGGGGTGGTGTTGTGACAGACAGTGAGGGACAAAAGGTCAGGCATTAGACAAGTGAAAGGCACAAACTCTTCAGGTCACCTAGGATTTCCACTCCATGTTACCGTCAGCGCAACATCAGCTTTTTGAAATAAAAACTGTGATCGGATTGATGAACAAACATTTCTTGAGAAAAGCTGGGAGATTAAAAGCCTTTCATGAGTAATTGTAGACCGTCAGGGAAAATAGAGATATTCATAGCGTTAACTTGAGATGCTGATCAAAGCCTGAAGCTTAACTCCTCGGGAATAATAATAAAGGTTTAGGTGTGCAGTCGATTCAAAGGTCGGAAGGAGACTCGGCTCAAAGTCAAATCAGCTTGAGTGAGTACAGTTTCAGTATTCTGTTTCACAGAAGAGATGCATCTTTGCTTAGGTACATATTTACACGAATATAGGACAAATCGTTACACTGGAGAAGGTGGAAAAAGCACGAGGCCTTTTTCTCAAAAGCCCACTGAAGCATTGGTTTCAAAATGCTTGAGGATTAATGAATTGATTTCAGGTTTAAAAATATTCAGGCATTATGCAGATTTTTCTCCCAATGGCATCTTTCCTGGTAATTAGTCAATCAACAG